GAGATCGCCCAGAGCAAAGCAAAAGGCATGACTGCTCTACGGCAGGAGCACAGGGTGACAGCCTCCCCGGCGTGGGCGAAGGGATGGGAGGGAAGACAGAGTACACGTGCCTCAGTGGGGCCAGGGAGACGGAGATTCCCCGCCACTAGCCCTGAGCTCTTACACCCCCGTCACTGCCTGGCATCCTGCCTAGACAGAGTCAGGACCAGCAAAAGCATCATCTCCCAGGACAGACGCCACCCTTCCCACTGAGTGCTTATGCGTTCCACAGGTCACACCGTGTACCAGCGAGGAGCTAGGTGTAGTCCTACACACTGGGGTGACAGTGCCAAAGGGTCCTGAGGTCCTGCCCTGACCTCGAGGCCCTTGCAGCCCTGACCTCAGGTGAGGAGGCGCAGGTGAGGAATCGCCAACTCCATGAGCCCTGCCTATGGGCTGAATGCATCTCCCGAATTTCATGCTGGAAGCTCAATCCCCTAATTCATGTCGATGGCATTTGGAAGTAATTAGGATCAGATAAGGACATCAAGGCAGGGCCCCATGACAGCATCAGGGGCTCTGCAGAAGGAGGAGGGACACAAGCTGACCATGCTGGCCAACACGCTCTATGGTGCCCTCTACAGTGTTGATGCGGCAGGGAGCCCTCACCAGGGCTGCAAAGATGCCACTATCTTGGAAATATATCAAAGGACTATTGTAAAAACTAACTACAAAAGTCCTCTTGTTAAGGCTTCATTTCACCGTTAGACTCCCCGCCTGCGAGCCCTGCCAGTCCGTGGCTGGGCACATCTTACATCCAACATCCCAGGATCTGCTGGCACTCGGCACTGACAGAATGAAGCCTCATGGCCAGCGAACTGGCCCAGCAGGCCCAGGGTCAGCAACTAACTGTGCACCTCTGGTTAGAACCGGGTGGAAACACAGATGACTGGAGAGGACACACAGGCTGCCGGCCATGAAGAAGGGCCGAGGGCGGGCTGTTGGGGGTAAAGGACAGCATCCCACTCTCCGGTCCAGCAGCTGGGTGTGGCTTCGGCACTGAGCACACAGAGGTGCAGCTGGAAGGGGAGCCAGGTGAAATCACAGAGACAGGTAAGGGTTTGTTCCGTGTCCTAGGGTCTCTGCATTCTGGTAGCTCAAAACAGTCTCTCTGATGAGATTCCAGAGCACGACTAAATTAGCTGAAACTTCCTTTGCCCCCTCACATTTTCATCTCTTCTGAGCTCACCTTTACCTTCCTGTAAACACGCTGAACACACCCAGGCACACACGTGTGCACGTGCACAGACCCAGCAACTGGCAGCACCCTGGTGGTATGCCGCTGTGGCACAGGCTGCAAGGCCAGGGCCTGGCCACTAGAGGGCAACACTGGGCACAGGAGCATGGAACAGCGGGGGGCAAGCCTCTGCCTGGACTGGGCAAGTTCTCTGATAAGACCCACAGGAGAAAAAATGATTTCTTCGGGCCTCCAAAAAGAGGCTCCCAGTCCACGCTACCGAAAAACAAGCAAGACCTGGATGGCGGGAGCCCTGCCCCACAGGTGGGGCAGGTTAACAGCAGTGTGTGGTGGTAACAATCCCCAAGCGTGCAGGCATCGGGCTTTCCCTGGCTCCTGCTTCAAGGGCCACACTCATCTCCCCAGCATAAAGCACATTTCTCTGTGTGTCTGGCTCCTGTGTCCACCAGCACTTCCTCCATCCTCACAGCCCCTGGGCTCCAAGCTATCTGGTTCAGCTCTCTCCAGTCTACTCAGCTTCAAGTCCAATCTGCCAGCCCCCTCCCTCTCGGTCCCATCCAGCCACCCGATGGAAACCGACCACCCCAGGCAGCCAGGCCCTCACCTCCTGCCCCAGGCTCCTGCTGCTGCCTCCCTGCCCTCCCAGGCCCTTCTCATGACCTTGCTCATTTGTGCCTGTTTCCCACCACCACCCAGATATCGCTCTCATCTTAAAGCCCAGCCAGATGTTCCTGCAGGCCCTCTGGAAGGGAAGGTAATGCTTCTTGTTCTGGTGTCTGAAGGCTGAGCAGCAGGCCTGGGCTTCCTGCACAGGCTGCCTCCGAGGCCCACTGCTGCACGGCAGTCGCCCGGCAGCCCATAGGGAGCTGCGTTCTCTGCAGATCGCCAGATCACACCCAACTCTGGCACATGGGAGCAACACGCGTGCCTCCTCAAGTGCCAGGCTTCAAAGCAGGCAGTCTTCGTAGGAGTAAATATTGAGTCGATGCTAGGAGGGGAATGAGCTGTTAAGTTCTATTTGCTACTTTCGTCCCCATGCTCGTTAACAGAGCACACACTAAAGAGAAAGCAGCACCCACCGGACGAAGATATTTAGCAGGGAGAATCACTCCGCGGACGCTTGACACACCAGCGATTTGCATCCCCAACATCGGCAAATATTTGCCACTTAGGCTTTTACGTAATGCGAAGATGACGTGTTGTACTGTCCTCGGAGCTAACTTAAATGCCTCAGGAAGACAGGCGCCATACCAGCTATGCGTTCTCTTGCTGCTAAATACAAATCCAATGATTGCATAACTCTGAAAGCTCTGGCTTTAGCTTTTTCATTTTAGATTTGATATTTAAACAGAATAAGTAATAAGAAAAAAAACCCATGATCACAATAGCCTTACAGAAGAATTTGATCTTTACATGCTAACGCTCCAATCCAGCCCTATATACCTTTTCCCAAAAGTCCTATGAGCTTTATTTCCAAAAGCTGGCCCAGTGGCGAAGTTCATGAGAGACAAGCTGGTGCGCGGAGCCTGATGGGAACAGGACCCCTGCCCACAGCCGGTCCCTTTCACTGGCTCTCTTCCGGCCACCTGCCCACAGTCGGAAGCCACTGAACACACCCGTCTGTGAGCTACCCTGACCTGCTACCAATCACCTGCATGAACATGCCATAAGCATGGGTGTCATAAAACTCAAGGTAGCATGCAAGCGGGACAATACAAATGAAAATAGTAACAATAATACTAACAATAATAACAAAAGCACACACTGCTTGGAGTGTTTATTAGCAGCTAGCACTGTCCTGAGCACCGCACGCGTATCATCTCAGGCTGCAAAATGCAGCCTACGGTTACCACATCTCTCAGCTGAGCAAGGACCCTGAGGCACAGGATCGTGAGTTACCCACTCACTCAAGGCCTCCCCACAGGCACGCAACTCTGAAAACTACTTTCCCGGGTGCTATATGGTTCTGCCTCCCTGCACGCCCTCAGCAGAGAAGGCAGCCGGGTGCTAGAAAAGGCAGGAGCTAAGGTCAGTACTAAAGCCACGAGACACTCCTCTAATCTGCCTTTCCCTCCTATCCAGTTCCTACCTGAGAATCACAAGGGTCGTCCTGCATTTCTCCGCTATCCCCAACCACACCAAGGGCTTCTCTGTGAATGGTGTCAGGCTCAGACAGCTGAAGGAAGCGCCCAAGTGTCTTGCAGCAAGGGCACTCAGGAGTAACCTACATACCCACCAGCAGGGGTCACGAAATAAATCACAGGGTACCCACAGAACGGCATGCAACTCGGTGGGAAGCATCACGGGAACACACACAGTCAGTTAATTCAGGGAAGAACAGAGCCGCCACTCATGATGAGAAAGCAATCTACTCCGTAAAGACACTCAGGCCTCTCTCTACAAAGGACTTCTAATTACCACAGGGAAGAGTGGCCTGTCAGCGCAAAGAGCTGGCACACCACTCGCCAAGCAACCAAGTTAGCATGAGTGTGTGAGGACAGACGGACAGCGTACGCCTCTGCCAAGACCAGGAGACCCCACACCTGCCCCACAGCACCCCTGCCAAGGCGATTCGCACGGCCTGCATCCCAAGGACACATCAGACAAACAGGAACGGAACAACTGCCAGCGCCCTCACGTGTCAGGATCAAAGACAAAGCGGCACGCGACCGAGCCGCCCCGCTCCAGGTTAATGGAGACTGAGCAATGCGGTGGCTGAACAGAACACACAATCCCGCTCTGGAAAAGAAAGGGATATAAAGAGCACCACGGGCAAGGTGACAAAGTGCGACTGTGCGTAACAATCCAATAGTGCTGTGTCGCTGAGACATTCCTTTATTTCAGCAACAGTACCATGACTGTCTAAAAGAACACCTCCACTCTTAGGAGATACAGAGTCAAGTGTTTTCGACCAAAGGGATGAGAGGTTCCAATGGCCTCTCAAGTGCTCCGGGAAAAACACACAAACACACACAGAGATGGAGACAGAAGCCACGGTGCGTCTGGCTCATGAGCAGAGGGGAGCTGCCTGCACTGCTCTTGTAACTCTACTGTAAGCTGAAGAGAGACGGCAGTGTCTGAAACCCTGAGCACAGCCATTCTGGAAGGAGCCACCCTGCTCTGCCCTCTGCAGGGAAGCCTCTGCCCCAGAGCTTCCCAGGCACAGGGCTCCATCCCGCAGCCCAGCCATGTGGCCCACCTGCCACCTCCTGGCCGAGGCAGGCACTGCATGCCATCGGAGAGCCACTCCAGCATCACCAGTAACTGTCCATTCCCATGTTTGCCCCCCAACTGTGAGTGATCTCGTGGCCAAGACAACTCTCCAGGCCTCGGAATTTAGGCAGAGACTCTGCGAAGGTGCTGTGAGCCTCACCCAGCCCCCCAGGAAGTTACGGGCTGGAGCCCATCCTCTCTGAACTCTGCCTCCCTGCCAGGGCCTTGCCCATCACCCTCCACACCGACCCCCATCCCGCGGCAGGAGACTGACAACCAGCACTGCCCACTGTGAGCCTCTGTCTTCACCGGCCTCAGGACAAGCCTGGCTGGGCACACTGAACACAGCAGCAGGAAATGGGGGCACCCAGGAAGAGGAACAGAAAACATGCCGTGGAACACAACGGAGGCATGTCTAGAGGAACTGGCCCGACATCTGGTAGCTCGGGGACTTTCCAGCATGAAAGCCCAGCACAACAACTTCCCAAGGGCATCGACGGGAACGCACGTGCACTGTCACTGTGCGCCAGTCCCACTGCACAAGACTCACCAAGGTCGGTGTTGGGTTCGGCAAGCAGCTGCTTGAACTTGTCCAGCCGGGAGGCCTCTCTCTCACTCAGTGCGGAGCTGCCTGGGGTGCTGGAATCGGCCGTCCCACCCAGCGTGATGGTGGCCGAATGTGGGAGAGACTGGGACCTCTGCAGAGGGACCGGGTCGCTGGTGCTTTCTGCAAGGAGTGAGAGGACAGCAGTGAGGGTGAGGACCCGCCTCTGCTCCCCACCATCCCTCCGTGACGGCGGAGGGTCGCGGTTCTGCCTCCCAGCATCCTGCACATGGGATCTCGGGTTCTTGAGCAACAAAAGTCGAGGGTCACCTGGAACTTCCCCTGCCTCCCTGTGCTGCTCGCCAAAAAATTGATACCTCTGCATGAGAGCAAACAGTGACAGCCAGAAAAGTCCTGGCCACCTAAGGGCTGTCGTGATCACACCCTCCAGTGCCTGGACTGCAGATCAGGCTGCCCAGGTGATACAACCCACAGATCGGCTGAGGAAGGGGCCTGCATGTGGTGGCCAAGACCACTGAGTCACCTCGCAAGGAGAGGATGACACGTCAAGGGCAGTGAGGTCAAGACAGGTGACTGGGACTCCCCCACAGCACACCTGACTCACTGTATCCTGATTCCCTGGGAGCAAGAAAAGCCAAAGGCCCCCAGGTCGCCTAATAGAGCCCCCCAGGACCAACGGGCAAGAGGCTCTGAGGACTGGATGCCATCCAGCAGCTCGCCTTTCAAAACTGGCAATGTAAACTCCAGGAAAAGGAATGAGAACGACACCATGGAGCCAAAGTGCTGGTGTCCACTTCAGCCAGCTGCAGGAAGCTCAGGCAAGAGCACCACTCCCGCACCAGTTTCCTCTCCTACCTGTGGCCTGGCTCCCTGGCTCCCGCACAGTGCAGGGCTTTACCCGGCAACCCTCAGGCTACCCAGGAGGAGGCAGCGCAGAAGCTGGCCCAGTTGTCTCCATGAGAGCCTAAGTGGGGGCACAGCCTCCTCCTGACAACCCCAGTTCCCCTGTGCTCCCAGCAGGCAGCATTCATAGGTGGCCTCTTCCCTTCCCTAAGAGCCAGCTGGCAGAATGACGGAGATGAGGACTCAGCCCTCTCTGTCACTTTGTCTGCATGTGAGATACTACAGGAGAAGCGGCCAGCGGAACAGTGCCACACCTCCAGGGTGTTTACTTGGATCAGGAGAGGCAACAAGAAGACCCCAAGGCCTGGAGCCCCTGAGGGCCACTCTCTGCTGAGCAGGACACACTTCTTTCCCTACTTAAAGATGTGGCAGGAGAAACCCTGACAGTAAAGGCAGTGTCCCTGGCAGAAACTGAGATGGACGCAGTCTCCTTGCAACTGTGACCAGAAGGCACATCATCGTCCCAGCACCAGGAGAGGGGACCATCATCAGCCAATGTCCACATAGACTGTCACAGCTCAGTCACCATCAGCTGCAGAGAAAGCTCTCATCCAGCCCACCACCCGTGCAGCAAAGACCTCAAGAGCCCTGTCGGCCAAGGACAGGCTTCTCCCCTTCACCCCAACGTCACTAGTGAGTAAAGTGCATCTGTTCTCAGCTATGAAGGTAACAGGGTGTCCAGGTATCCACCAAGAAAGGCTGGACAGCCACAGTGAGCACTGGCACAGGGCAGGCTGCCCATGACCACCCAATGTACACACTGGTTTCAGCCCGACCTCCTACCCGGCATGCAGGTCACAGGCACTTACAAGTGACATCCAGCTCCCCACAAGGTGACACACATGACAGGAGCTCCACAGAAGCTCAAATGGAAACAAACACAAGGGATGGCAAATTCACAAGGCCAGGGAAGTAGACTGCACCCTATAAGATGAACTAGTCTAGGACACTCAGACCAGCAAAGCTGTGTGTGGGGGCATAAAGCACCCTGGAACTCATGTCAATCACTGGGGCAGAGGCCCTGGCTCCTGAGCAAGGAGATATATGAGCTGGGAGGATGCCGGGCGGTGGGCAAATTATGTTTACCCACTAATGCACTACAGGACACAGGCAAAAGCACAACTGAGGCATGGTCTTTCCTTCCAGGAACTTGCAAAATGTCTTAGTTAGTTTTCCCATCGCTGGGACAAAATACCCAACACCTCCTAGTTAAAGAAGGAAAGGTTTATTTTAGCCCACAGTTTCTAGAGGTTTCAGTCCCTAGTCAGCTGGCTCCAGGGCAGGGCAGACTACAAAGGAGCACTCCAGAGAAGAAACAGTCCACAGCAGGGCAGGCAGGAAGCAGCAAAGCAGCAGCATAATGCCTTTCTCTTTCATCCTATCCAGGATATAAGCCTTTTGGGTAGTGCCACCCCTAACCAGGGTGGCCCTCTCCCATTATCCATGCCCAGAACTATGTTAAACCAATCAGCAGGCTAATTTAGTACCAGACACCTTTAATCCCAATATTACACACCCATTCTGAAGCCACCTCCCAAAAGCCCCACCTCTTAGCACATAAGGCTATGGGGGAACATCTAGGTAGATACAAACCTTAACACTATGTGCATGTGTCACATGCAGTCAGACAAATACAGCCTCCACCCTCCCCAGAGATGGAGGCAGACCAGACAGCCTTAACTTTTCTGATCGGGAGACCCCACAGAGGTCTCCCTCCGCTGTGAAGCCCTCCCTCACCTTCCATTCACCCTCCTCAACAAGACACAGTGAGAACTCCGGCCACTGTGCACTTCTGTACTTGTCTGTCTCCACACTCTCACTCACCATTGACCGTAACCTCAACTGCAGACCAGGGCTCCTCAGCATCGTCACCATGGACGTTTACGGGGTGGACGTATGTCTGGTGGGGGCAAGGACTGCCCCGGGCACTGTGGGATGCTAAGCACCACGGCAGCCCTTGCCTACCACAAGCAGTGACAGACTCTGCCCCACGGCCCCAAACTGTCCATAACAGTGCCACCTGTCCCCTGGGGACAAAAGCACATAGTAAGGCCAATGGGAACAGCAGGGACTCTGCAGCCAAACACCCTGGATTAAAACTCCAGCCCTACCAGTCAGGGAACAGCTCTGGGCCCTCTCAGTGCCTCATCAGTGAAACAGGAATAACAACCTGTCTTCCCTCCCACAAGTTTAATGAGGTAAAGGAGCTGCTGCAAAATTTAATGAGTTTATAATCAAAAGGGCTGGCTACAACATCTTCACTCAATAAATGATCAAATGTTATCATTATTATTTTGAATGATCCAAAAAAGATGTGCCCAGCAAACAAACACAAGAAAGAAAGCTAACTCTAAGAAGGTGGAATCACAAGGAACAAGATCATGGACGCTTTCTCCTGGGCACAAGCTGCATTGAGCAACAGCAGCGGCATCCCTGCAGGGGCAGCCTGGGCTTACCTGCGTTACGACCCCACACACCGTGCACTCCAGCCCACTCCTGGCTCCTGCATGTGGGGGTGCTGAGGATGGTGGGAATCACAGAGGACCCAGCCCAGCCCCAGGGGCTTGAGATACTGTCTGCACAGCTGGCTGAATCTCACCAGCACAGCACAAGAGCTGGTGAACTCAGGGCTCCTGCCGACATCAGAGCCTGCCACAGCTGGATCCGAGCATGCAGGAGGTGGGAAATGTGCACCTTTGTCACCAGCAGGACTTTCAACCAAATGCAAAAGCCATAGCTGATTTTCATTTATAAGCTCAAGTGCTTTCAAACTTGTTAGACTCTGATATAAAAACGGATTAAGTGAAAATAATTCATAACACCCACACTTAGAGTCTTGTAACATGTTAGCAGTCCATCAATTTCTAGAAGGTATTTTTGAAAACCAGAGTGCGTATGAAATACAGCTCTGAATCTAACTGCAGGGAGACCTTAGGGTCCTACAATGATCCCTATTTTTGCACCTGTTAATATGGGGGAAGCACCCTAAGCCCAGTATGTGCGAGACCTATGGCAAAGAAGGTGTCCCTCAGAGAGATAAAGGTACCCCTAGACCCTGTGCCCCCATGGCCTGCCCACAAGAGCCACAGACCTGCATCACATTTAGAGGAGGTTCACTGTGCTTGGAGGGCAGAACTCTGGAGTGCTCAGGAAACCAGAAGAAAACCCAGGCTACTTCCCACCTCACAGTGCTGCAGCCACTATGGGCCATCAGGGCCGGGAGTCCTGCTGCAGGCAGAACAGCCGTCCTCAGCCTCCACCATAAGCACCGGCCCACTTCAGCTCCCCCAGACCCACACACACCTCCTCTGGGCTCCACCTACCTGCAGCACAGGACGTGTGACTCTCGCTGACCGATTTCACCAGCCGGAGGTCACCAGTCAGGGCTGGGGGCGGCTCTGCCACAGGCTGCAGCTCCGGTTTGGGTGTAGGAACCTCCTGTGGGGCAGGCCGGCCCTGCCTCTGGCTGTGGTTGCGCAGCACTCGGTGGGCAGTCTCCATGACCACCTCGGTATTCAGGCTCTGGGCCGCCATGGCCAGGAGCTCATCGTCATCCTCCCCCGCATCCCATGCATCACTGGTGTTGCTCTCAAACTCCTGGAAGGTGCTGACCCTCTTGGCCTTCACCGGGGTGGTGGGCACTTTGGGTGTAGACTTGAGCAAGCTGCAAGGCAAAGGCACCATTCCTGCCCACGCTCAGAGCTTAAGAGTGTTCACCTAACTCAGCCAGAAAAACACCCCCAAATAAGAAGATACTTCAATCCCAATGAGGGCAGCCTGCAGAGCAAACAGCTCACAGAGACAACAAAGACCGGGACTTAGTGACCGGGAGAGGAACATTTCAGGGGGACAGCTGGGCAAGAAGCACAGGGCTGCAGGGATGGTGAGCAGACCCACACCTCCAAGTCACTGCAGGCAGAGCCTGTGCCACATTCCACTCCTGGCATCTCAGCAAAGCTAGAGGCTGCGTAGGCGGGACTCTGGTGCACAGATGGGGAGCCATCATCATTTACAGAAGAGCCCCCAACATGGCCACATGTGTCAGACACCCCCTAGCCGCCTCCTGCTCTGGGGGAGGAGCCACAACACGGGCAGGGCAGGCTGGGAGAGCCGGGGAGAACAGCCGGCCAGGCTGCCAGCCAGCTCAGGTCCAGCTCTGTGCTCCCCTGCGGGGCTCCACCCCTCACCCACATCAGGCTGTAGTCCACCTCCGACTCCCCACTGCAGGACAAGCTAGGAGCTGGAGGGAAGCGGAAGACGCTGGCTGCCCCGGCCCGCCTCCAATCAGAGCCCCGAAGCCTCGGGTGGGAAACCTCACTTACGTGCCGTGTAACAGTGGGTCAAAAGGGGGGTGCTGGGCTCCGTACACATGCTGGATGCTAATGAAAAAGAAGAGAAAACAAATCAGCTTTGCTTGCACTGTGCCAAAAACCCACAGCTGACCCAACAGAGAGCCAGCTCTGAGGAGCCCACACGGTGCGGAAAACAGCATATTCCATGAGCCACCCAGGGCCAGCAGGGCTGGTCGAGGAGGTATGAATGGCACCACACGGGCCCAGAGCCCACAGACAAGCAGGGCATTCAGGCCTCTCCTGAGAGCAGGCGCAGCTCGGAGCCCTCCAGGCGCCACCGCGGAACCTGGGAGCCCACAGCTGGGACAAGGGCACTGGGGGCGCTGAGGGTCACACAGTCTCAGCTCACAGATGGCATCTGCCAGACGGGGCTAACACAACGGAGCAACTATGCTGTCTGAAGTTCAACGGCAGTATCACAAGAAAGATCAACATAACTTTTTTAAAGATGTGACTGTTCTATTTTAAAGCTTTTATATTTGTCACAGTTCATCTGGAAAACACACAGCAGCAGAACACCCACAACAGAGACCCAGCTGGTCGGCTGAGCCTCTTCCCTCGGCTCACTCCAGCCAGGGTGACCACGTGCCCCGGCCATGCCAGGGAGAAGGAAATGAAGTCTGTGTCTTTTCCAACAAAAACAGATAGGCTTAGCTAGCATCCTTGGCGCCAGCTCCTCCCTGCTGGGAACAGAGAGGATGAGGCCAGGGTCCCCACACGGAGGTGCCACCGAGAAGGTTTTGCTGAGCAGCCAGTACAAGCCTGGCCCTTCCCTCGACTTCTGGAACAGGACAGAGACCCTCACGTATTGAACCCTCCATCCTGGAACATCCTAATGGATAGGTTCGCAGAGCACAGAAACCACTGTGACACTGGGGTGCAGCAGCTGGAGGAGGGCCTGTCTGTAACAATGAACACAGGCCAAGAACAGTTCAGATTACAGGTGAATGCTCTCATTGTTTTAATGAAATCCTACCTTCCTTTCTTAGTAATGGATCATGACTATTTCTCCATATCATTACTTCATTCTTCTCCAGTATATTTACTTACCTTACATGCACTGCTTGAAAAAAAATACGTGCAATTTAAAACTACAGCACACATGACTTCCCTATGCATTTCTCTGCAACTACTTGTAAATGTATAAGTATTTCAAAATAAAGTTTTTTTAAACCACAGGAATAGAAGGAGCACCAGCTACTCTGTGACCTGTGCCACCTCCCTGGACACTACCACTCCTGATCTCACACTGAGACCACATGGCCACAATGTAACGAGTCTAACCAATGCTGAAGGGAAGACATTTAACTTATTTGAGACTGTTTGCCATCACAAAAATAGCAACAAGGCCTCTGGAGACAAATCCCACACTCTAACACCCTCTTGAGATGCACTCCTGGAATCAGAGGGCTGTAACGTAAGGCAGGCATTTAAGGATCCTCTGATCCCCACTGCCAGAGAGCAGGAAGTAGTACCTGCAGACCCCAGCAGGCAAGGCCCTGGGGGCAGAGAGGGTGACTCTGTACTGAGTGTGTGTACTCCTGATTATAAGTGAGGGTGAACTTCTACAAATTCTGTTCATTTGTTCCTCTTCTTCCTATAAACCGTTTATGCTTTTGCCCGTTTACTAGCAGGGTCTTCAACCTCTTACCGATGTATATAATCTACTTGGTAAAAAGGGAATTCATAGTTTGGTAATTCAGATAACATGGTCAGCAACAGCAACCCCACCAAAGATGTCTGCGTCCCAGTGCCAGACCCTATGAATATGTCACCATGTATGGCAAAGGGGACTCTGAGGATGTGCCTGAGAGTACGAACCTGCCTGGGCTACCCGGATGGGCACACGCTGATCACAAGAACATAAAAGCAGAGCACTTTCCCCAGACTGAGGTCAGAGGGACCAGAGGAGTCCTGACTATAACAGCCATCAGAGAGACCACCAGCTTTGGAGACGAGGAAGGGCTTCAAGCTGAGGACTACATGCACCTCTTAAAGATGGGCAGGACAGAAAAGGCCTGGGGCCGAAAGAAGGAGCCAGACCTGCCAACAACTTGATTTTAGCCCTGAGAAACCTGGGTCAGACTCCTGCCCTCCAAGCCCTAAGTTCACGCGTTGTTCTAAGTCGATAAGCGTGTGGTACTTTGCCAGAGGAGCAATGGGAAACATACAAGTGGCAAATCTTTTTTCCTGGTCATGGGAGGCCAGATCAGTCCTGGTGACAGGAGGTCAGTCGGTCCTGACCATGAGAGGCTAGGCCCACCATTCCTTTATCCTTTCCATGTGAGTTCACTTTGAGGAGTACTCTTCCGACACTACACAAATATCTTATGTGCTTGCTCCATACTTGTATGACTCCATCTTTTCACTCCAACTATTGTATTTCAATATGTAGTGTGTAGTATGGCAATTTTTCTTTTAAAAGATCAACTGTTCTAATGTCATTTATTAAAACAACTTCAACTTCCCAATGGTTTGGGGTATTACTTTTAACATATGTTAAAATATTATTTTAGAGCCAGGCATGGGAGCCCATGACTATAATTCTAGCACTCAGGAGGCTAAGGCAGGAAGATTACTGTGAGTTTGAGGCTAGTCTGAACTATATAGCAAGACGTCTCATAAAACAAAACAAAATATATTACATTATATAGAGTCATTTTTCAGTGTTCTGTTTTCTATTCACTCCTACACCTCCAGAACAAAAGTTCAATTATACCAAATGCTTATTTATTTTGTTGTACTAGGGACTGAACCTAGGACCTCTGCACTGAGCGACATCCCAGTACTTCTTTGTTGTTGTTGTTTTGAGATAGGGTCTTGCTAAGCTGCTAAGTGGCCCAGGTTGAGTTCAAACTTGCCAAGAGAACATGTTTTCTTTGGTGGGGGGGGGTACCAGGGATAAACATTTACTTTTAATATCCTAAAATTTTCCAGAAAAACTTAAACATTTGTTGGATGTTGACTCTGTGACAGAGTACTACGTAGGATAATATAAGTACACTGTAGTTCAAATTACAGAAGTGAAATGTGAATTGGCATTCACCATGTTCTATAAGAATCCTATAAGAACATGCCACAGGAACACAGAAACCCAATTTTGGTTTTTTCTTGAGAAAAAAATTACACCTAGACTGAAGAAATGTAGGGCAGGTAGAAAATTCCAGGCAGATGAGCAGTGCGTGAGATCTGAGGGAAAGGAAGAAGGTCAAAGTTGGGAAAAGCATAGTGGTAGCACAGGACGGTCTCGAAGGTGAGCAGAAACACATTCCCAAGGGGAGGCCTCCCCAGATGATCCCTGGAGCCCAGCCCAGGCTCCTAGAAAATGCAAGTGACCTGCCCAAGGTCACACACACCCTGCACGTTGCAAAGCCAGCTTCGTGACAGACAGGGCATGAAGAATGACCACAAAAACACCACCCAGAGCATTGGTTCCATCGAATCCTAACATTTTGTAGACAACAGAGTTGAAGCCCTATCCAATCCTGTTTCCCTCCCTATCCTCTCAGAGGCAACTGCTAACCCAAATTTAATATTGGTAATTTCCAGGCAAGTGTTTGCACTTTCACTGAAGAGTCAGGGATCTCTGCAGCAGAGCAGCAGTCTGTACTGCACATCTGTACAGTCTGCATCATCATTATATATGTACATCTTGCAACTTCATTTTCTCAAGATGTTTATGTATCAGTATTAATGCACACAGCTCCAACTTTGTAAAATCAGTACTTCAGCAGTAAACCAACTTTTCAAATGAAATTTTCAAGGAGACACCAAACACAGAAGCTGAGCTATTCTGGTGAAGGAGGAGGAGCAGGAGCTGAGCTTCCACCAACAGAGAGAGAGAAGAGGCATCCACAGGGACCACCCTGGGACTCTAGGGCAGTGGCCGGAAAGTGAGAAATTCTTTGCACATCACAGATCTGATGATGGATTGCAGGTAGAATAGATAAAGAACTCTCAAAAAAAAAAAAAAAAAAAACTCTTAAAACTCAAAACAAAGAACTCTTAAAACTCAAAACTACCTGGCACCTATCAAAGGCCTCTAGATAGATCCTCTGTGGAGTAACTAACTGCTGAACCCTCTTCAGCTGGAAATAGCCAGAGCTGTCTTCACCCTTTGCTCCCTCATGGCAGTTAGGGAGGGCGAGTATTGCAGATAGGTAAGTTAATTAGGTATCTGTAGGCAGTTAGGCAGGGCTGCCCTCAAGGAGTCAACATAGAGAACAATCAAGACACATTCACTGGGGCCAGAATTGTAAAAGAAGAGAAAGTACTACACCCTGGTGCTTCCCCTGGGGATACAGAACAATGACTGACATTCTAAATAGGTAACAATCACCTGGGTGGGAGGCCAAGGTCTTTGCTTTCCAGGAAATGTCCCTGACCCCCACCCTTACTGAAAACCCTTGTACGCTTGCTATGTGACTTGCTCTCCCATTTGACCCCCACTTAATCAATATAACCTGGGTGACTGTACCTGTCATCTTACTGGTTGGTCATGGTTCTGCCCCACCTCATGCCCACCTTGTGATTTTCCACTGGATCTTACAGTTTTATCCCACTTTGTACCCACCTCACCACCTGGCTTGGCTGTATAAAACATCTTTGAAAAGTGGGGTGGGCAGGCAACCACTTTCTGGTCCGTCTTCTGTCTCTCTTAGACAGAAGCTTGCTTTCTCTCAATAAATTTTTCCTAAGGACTGGGGATTCAGCTTGGTGGTTCTGCTGCCTGCCTCACAAACACAAGGTCCTGAGTTCGATCCCCAGTACCGAAATGAATAAATAAAATTTTCCTATTCTTAAAAAGACAAACCAATTTAAAAGTGGACAAATGGTTCGAATAGATGTTTCTCCAAAGAAGATATATAAGTGAACAGGAAGCACATAAGAAGGTGCTTCACATCATTAGGGAATCAAAACCACACTGACACACCACTTTACACTCACCAGGTGCCAAAATAAAAAATGTTGGTGAGAATGGAGAGAAAGCAGAGTCCTCACACACTGCTGGAGGGAATGAAAACTGG